AAAAGGTGTTATACGACACAAAGAAAAATTCGAGTTCTAAATCGTCGTCTTCAGTATTTGGTGAAAAGATTTCAGCTGATGATGCTGATTTATTTGGTTCAAGCAAACCCAATGAACAAAAACAACAAGATAATGATAATTGGATTTCGTCTACTGACCTTTCATTTTTAGAATCCTTTACCAATTCCAAAGCTTCAAATTCACGCAAATATCAGCAAGATTCATTTTTTGATTTTTCAGAATTTACTAGTGATCCAAAGTTGCCTTCAAAAGTGCAACCACAGAACGGTTCAGATGCATTTTTACGATTGATGTCACAACAAGTTGATAAGGGAAATACATTTTCAATAATTAATAAAATTTCTAAAGTGAAACAGGAACAAGCACCACAAAATATATTCGATTCAAATCCTAAACAATTGTATACGCCTTCAATGAATGTTGGTTCTACAACGGATTCTTCGGAATTTGGTGACATGGTATCAGCATATGATCATCGAACTTTGCAAGATGATTGGATGTCAAGTACATCATCAATAAATCAAGATAATTGGATGTCAAATTCTGGACTTTCATTTTTAGAGACTTTAAAAACTACTTCTTCCTCCAATCTTAAATCCAAACAAATTTTTGGAGATTTAGATGAATTTATATTAACCTTTAAGTAATAATAGTAATAATGTTAATATCATTGAGAAAAAATATAATCGAATTCATAATGAACTTTTGTAAATATTATTTTAATATATTTAAATTGAAAAAAAAAAATTAATTATTAAAAGATATTTTATATAGATTACAAGCTTCAATCAAAGAAAAATAAAATAAAATAAAAAGAGAATAAAAAGAAAAACGATCATTACAGACGGACTTTTCTTCAAGATCATCTCATATTGCATTCGATTGTCATACCCAAAACTATGCAAAAAAAAAAAAAAAAAGTAATTTTTCCGGATTAAAAATAGTAAATCTACAATTTAACCGTGGAGATATTGCGGGCCAAATTCTCGTAAAATTTTTTTTTTTCTTTTTAAGAAATGATTTCATGATTTCAAAAAATGAAGTACCAGGGACAAGAACCATCCGTCTTAATAAATGTTATAAGACTATGAACTGGTAACGAAATATTTTCAATAAAAAAAAAAATGCATGATCACATAATATCCAAAAAAAAAAAAAGGTAAATTCTTTTAATAAATGGATAATCAACAAAACCGTTTATCTTTCGAGTCATCACAAAGGAAAGAATAAGCCGATCCAAGTTCTCGTGTAACGGTAGTTTGTGAGATCGAAACATCACTTACAACATGATTATTATGCTCCAAATTAATTGACATCGTATTATGACCGGATTGAAGTTGTCTTGTTATATCATTACAATTATTGAATTGAATTTTATTACTCGACTTTGCCGCAACACGAGATCGTCGAGGAGTTGTCTTATTGTGCGTTCGATAATGAGCCGCGAAATTATCCGAACGGCCAAACCTTTTACCACAACCAGGATAATTACAAGTATACTTTCGTTCCCCGGTATGAGTGATCATGTGACGTTTCAGATGTTCGAGCCTCTTAAAACTCCAAGTGCATCCGGGCCAATCACATTCATGACGATTCCTTGCCGTAGGATTCGGGATTCGTTGAGATGC